CCAGCGACCTTTTGCTCTGCCAAACAACGCTCAAGGAACTGAGCCATGTCAGTCAGGGCTTGCTGGTGACTTTTGTGGGAGCAGAATCCAGATACCAATGGCTGAGTGGGAAGTGAGGGTTCGAGTCATGCAGAAGGGGAACTGGTAGTCACCTGAATTAATTTTAAAACCTTTTTAAAAACTGAAGTTCGTGCACAAACATAAAGTAGGCAGAGGCCCTTTTGAGAAGCATTTTGATGAAAGGAGAAAGGGAATGGTAGCATCAGGAGAAGATCAGAGATCACCTCATCCTTACAGGGTAATATAGCCCCTTGCTCTTTTCAACTTGCTTTCTAGAGGACAGGAGGATGGGATAGCTTCCTGCCTCCTTTTGGACATATGACCTGCAAAAATTCAAGCTGAAAAGGTGGAAGTGGGAGAGGGATGCTGCCTTGGCAACTGCTGGGGTGAGAGGGGCCAGCCAAACACTGCCAGGATAGGTGTTTGTGAGGAGAGGCTATCTGTGAGGCAAGATCTGAGAGCGAACAAGCTGGACTCAAGCAGCCCTGGGTTTGCATTCTGTCTCTGTCACCACCTAGCAGCTAGGTCCTAGCTAGATGACCTTGTTACTTAACAAGGGCAAGTTACTTAACCTGAGCACCTAGTTTCCCATCTGTAGAATGGAAACAACGATGCCTACCTTTCAGCGTGGTTTTTGAGTATTACCGACTAGTGCCTGCCACATCGTAGTAATCCTAAAAGAGTGCTAGTGTGTGACCCAGCCCTTCACTATGGGACAGAACGGCTAACAGACAGACTGGTTAGAATCCGAGACCTGCCGATCCTAGAGGGTAGGGAGGGCTCCCTGGGGCCTCCTCCCTCCAGGAGGTGGGGACAAGGTGGAGCGAGGGCTGTAGGAGGGGGAGGAGCTGGTGCGTTGCGACCCGCCCCGTCCAGTCCAGTCTGGCCTGGGCGCTGTCCTAGCCAACGCCACCGTAGCAGCCGGTCCTGGTGCCCCGTGCGCTACCCAGTGTCCAGTAATGACCCTGCGCCCGTCATCACTCCCACTCTGTCTGCTGCTGCTGCTGCTCAGTGGGGCGGTATGCCAGACTGAGACGGGGTTCGAAACCGAAAGTCCTGTCCGGACCCTCCAAGTGGAGACCCTGGTGAGGAGATTGTCCCGGGCTGCAGAGGGAGGGGAGGGCCTTGTACGCGCACACAGGTCTAAAAGAACCTGCGAGCCCAGAGAAGTACGGGGACTGAGCTGGGGGGTGCTGGGTCTAGGGGCAAGAACGGAATCGGCGGATCCTCCGTGATTCCTGTAGTCCGATCATAGGTGGAGCCCCCCGAACCGTGTGCGGAGCCCGCTGCCTTTGGAGACACGCTTCATATACACTACACGGTGAGGGGTCTAGGGGACAAAGGCGGAGCCTGGGAGGGGGCGGCGCCCTGATAAAACACGTCAGCTTTGGCTTGGACACGTGGCAAGCAGTTCGGGGAGTAACTGGGCTCTGGGGTCTTCAAGCACGTGGCGTGGGGAGGGACGTTCCTCTTGCCTGCCCATTCCGCCCCCCCCACCCCCAACGCGCTTTTCTGCCAGTTCCTCCTGGGCACTGAGAAGTGAAGGGCGGCGAGATCTCCGAGAAGTGCCAGACCTTAGGGGCTTCCTGTTCCCTTCTGCCCCGAGGGTAGTGCTAGGCGGCCCCGGCTAAGGGGTGGCCCGGCCCAGCTGCCCACGTTGTGTAGCGTGCCTGCTGGGAGGGAGAGGTACTCAGTGTGCAGCCTGGATGCTCTCTCCCCCCAGGGCAGCTTGGTAGATGGACGAGTAATTGACACTTCCCTGACCAGAGACCCTCTGGTAATAGAACTTGGCCAAAAGCAGGTGATTCCAGGTATGTTACCTGTGCCTCCCACTCCTTTTCCCAACAGAAGTGTTTTCTTAACGCCTTTAACTCCTAAGCTACCTTAGAAATGCCCTCTTGAATTAGTATGACACCCATTTCTACTAGCCACCTCCTGAGGTTCATACCCCACTTATTATTTTTTAAGGTGTTATTTATTTTTAGAAAGAGGGGGAGGGAGGGAGAAGGAAGGAAACATTGATGTGAGACAGAAACACAGATCAGCTGCCTCTCATACAAGCCCTCATCTGGATGGAATCTGCAACCCAGGCCTGTGCCCTGACCAGGAACCGAACCAGCAACCCTTTGCTTTGTGAGATGACACCCAACCAACTGAGTGACACGGGTCAGGGCTCAAAGCTCATTTCTAATACTCCTCTTGCCACATACCCTACTGGAAGCCAGAGATTCGAGAAGTGGGGAGCTCAACTAAGGGTTAAGGGGGAGCCTTTGATCTCCTCTCCTGGGATTTGGGGAATGTAGGTAGCTTCCTGTTCAGCTATGTCTTCTTCCTCAAGGTCTGGAGCAGAGCCTTCTAGACATGTGTGTGGGGTGAGTATCTGGGCAGAGATGGGCTTGGGTACTCCCTTTGTGTGGGCAGGCCTTTCTCGTCTATCCTTGCTCCTAGAGGAGGCAGGAGAATATGCGATAAAGGGCTCTGACCTTGCATTGGTCATTGGGTCCAGGTCATTGGGACTCCTGAGGACATCCAAGGCCTCTGTGCCCCTCTGGCTGTGGGTTTTGTTGGAGGAGATGAGGCATGTGTGTGTTGGGGGGTGGGGGCGAGGGTGGACACCTTAGCTGGTCAAGCTGTTTGATGCAAGGTGGGAAAATTCACCTTTCGGGTGTGAATACCCAGAGGGTTTTGCTGGTGGAGCTTCAGGTGGACTGAGGCTGCTGGCCCACCTGGTACCACCTCTGGCTGTGATTTGCATTCTTTCCCGTAGAGAGAAGCGAAGGGCAATCATTCCTTCTCACTTGGCCTATGGAAAACGGGGATTTCCACCATCTATTCCAGGTAACCCGACTAGACCTGTCTCTCAGATCATTAAAATACCTAGCCCCTAAGAGCTACACCATTTGTCTGGAGCTCGAGAAGGTCTGAACCCAGCTTGCTAAAAGGGACAGGAGTGGCTGGGGCCTCCTCCTGCACGGCCACATTTTTCCTGCTTAGGTCATCACAGGGACTAGAGAGCGTGTTAAGGTCACCTGGTGTGCTCCCTGGCAGCCAGCAGCTTTTGAGGGAAGCGATGCCTCATTGTGCCGCAGGGGTCTGCTGCCCATGCCACCTTTCCCAGAACCGGGGAACTCTTTCCTGCCATTTTCCTATAATTCTGAACCCTGTCGTTTGTACAGTTGGCACGGCTTCTCACCCTTCTCACACTCCACCCTTCCTTTTCACCAGGAAGAGGTAGTAAAAATGATCACAGTCAAGAAATTCAAAACAAAATTGAAAACAACTTCTGAAAGCCAGGCTCACCCCATAACTTTAAAAGCCCTCACAGGTCACTGCTGACATCTCTTGAAGGCCTGAGATTGGACAGATTTCCCAAGATCTGTATTTCTCGCTTTGGATTCTGTTAGCTAAAATGTGCTGTGCTTCAGAGGACTGGGGTAAAAGTGCTTATCCCGGTTCCAGCCTAGAGGGAGACCTGGAAGGAGGATGGGGGACTAAAGAGAAACAAGCTCCTTCCCAAAGCTGTGTCACCTTCTGCTTTCTGATGCTGCTCCCATCTGCGTTTCTTTCCCCACCCCTTACTCATTCCCCCACCTCTTATTTCTTAAGAAACATCCTTCTTCCTCTCCAACTCTTATGCTAAAACACCTATCTTCTCTACCAATCACATTGACTATGACCATTGGTTGGTGGAATTTTTAAAAGTCTAGTTTAAATTCAATTAATTTCACTCTGCAAAGATTGTATCCACGTGGCTGTTTGGAAATGGAGTATAGTTAGTATGGAGGTCTCTCTCACTTATAAGTGGAAAACAAGATGTACATTCCAGATCCACAGAAAGTTTTTCTGGGCTGTCAAAGACCTGTCATGCAAACCAAGCCACACATGCATATTTGGGGTAAACACAACTATCACAGGCTCTGCTCAGAACCTGTCTCTGCCTTTGTCTCAGGGACCTCAGCCCCACATTCAAGTCTTGCCAGCTTCATAGCTGTTGCTCTGGTGTGGCCTGTCTCCTCTGTTCTCATACAGACTTAGAGTCCTGGATAAACTGGACAGAGATTCTAACCCTCACCCCTCCTCTGCCTCCAGCGGATGCAGTGCTGCAGTTTGACGTGGAGCTGATTGCACTGATCCGAGCCAACTACTGGCAAAAGCTGGTGAAGGGCCTTTTGCCTCTGGTGGGCATGGCCATGGTGCCCGCCCTCCTGAGCCTCATTGGGTATCACCTATACAAAAAGGCCAACAGACCTAAAGTCTCCAAAAAGAAGCTCAAGGAAGAGAAACGAAACAAGAGCAAAAAGAAATAATAAATACTAATTTAAAAAAAACTTCTTTGCATTCTTTACCTGGTACTTTCTGAGGCTACTTTTGTAAGCGGGACTGAGGTGCAGGTGCTGGGGAGAAGGCATTCTGAGTTGGATCTTGTCTGGCGTGCGGGCGGTTGGAGATGTTGGATCACCTCTTCCCACGGCCTCTTATTCCTGTCCTAACTGACCTCAGGGGCTGCTCTAGAATCTTCCCATAGGGTCTCTAGGTTCTGAGGGTTGGGGCTTTGGGCCCCATGGTGCTCTGACTCCAGGAGCAATGCTTCCCTGAGAGGTAAGCCTCCTGGTATCACCTAGCTATTCTCTCCACTCCCTGTGGCCACTGTAGTCCCGGTGCCCTCGAAGTAGATAGGCCACTCTGTCCAATACAGAAAAGATACAGGGAGCTCGTGGACTCTTGGGAATTTTTTTTAAATCCTCACCTGAGGAGACTTTTTCCCTTGTTTTTAGAGAGTGAGGGAGAGGGGGAGAGAGAGACAGACACAGACTTGGTTGTCCCTCATATGTGCCCCGACCAAGAATCGACCCTGCAGCCTGGGTATGTGACCAGCAACCGAATCCATGACCCTTCAGTCCACACCAACTGAGCCACATCAGCCAGAGCTATGGGAATTTTTTAATAGCAAAGTCCTCAGATATCTCAAAAAATTCTCTGGAGATTGAAAAGAGATTTTTCTCCTTGTATCACAAGATGTGGGAGACCACATGGGCTGCTTCAATGATGTTGTAAGTGGTTGCAGGTTTTTTGTCACCTGTCTGGCCTGTAGGTGTGGACAAGGGCTGGGGCAAGTTGCTTCGGTGGTTGACGATGAAGAGTGGGTTGAGCTGGCTCAGCACTTCATCACTCACTGAGATGCCATCCAAGTACTGCTTGAGCATTTCCCGCAGCTTCCCATTGATGTCTGACAGTTGGGCGTGTCTGTGTTGGAGGCTCAGTTGCTCCAGTTTCACTTTGTTGTACCTTTTCCAGAAATTCTCCAACCCTCTGTAGTCTGCTATCACCTGGGAATTGATTTAAGGATGAAAGGGGGAAGGGAGAAGGTGATGGCGGGGCCCATTAGCGAATGCGGCCCGGGGCCCTATCATCCCCAACCTTGAGCCAAGGCCCCTGAGCACTAGGAACTTTACCTTTGCCAGCTCCTCGGTGACCTCCTCCGGGCCAGTCTCCTCTATCTCCTTCTGCTCCTCAGGAGTCAATGTTGATGAATAGAAAGGCAGCACTTTTTCTTCTTCTGTTTCAAATTTCCTACATATTTCAGCAAGTTTAAGGATCTTTTCACCCTGTTGAAAGAGGAAGACACATTTTATCAGGAAAGTGATGGGAGGGGGAATAGTGGAGTCTGTTCCCTGCTTGAACCAGGAAAGCTACTCATCCAAGTAGGAGAGAAAAGTGTCTACCTTGTGCCAAGCACTGTCCCAAGTATTTTACGTTCTTTTTCCTCAAGTATTTTATGTGCTTATAAAATTCATTATTTATTCATTAATGTGAGCGAGGAGGGAATATGAAAATAAAAAAGATATTCCAAGTGTCCACTCAGGCAGTAGACAGGAGGAAGTTTCCTCCACCACTCTCAAACCCCTTTCGCTTTGCATGGAGCAGGTTCCTTGGTTTGTTTGGACCGCCTTCCCCCCTTGTTACCTTACTGACAATCTTCCTCAGGGCTTTGAGGGTGGCATTACTCTCCAAAGTGAGATTGACTAAGTTCTCCTGTGCTATTTCCCGGCCCTGGGTCCTTTGGGCCTTAAGTTTTCGCAGTTGTACAAGGACCAACTCCTTGTCATCACGAACGCACTGGTTCTGTTCGTCACTCTCACGGCTGTGTGCCATGATCTTGCCTTTTAAAACAATTACAGAATCCTAGGAGAACAGAGTAGATTAGAGGAAGTACTTGACTAGCTGAAGGTCTTCAGTGAGGCAGATAAAAGGACTGAGGACTGAAGTCAAAGCACATCATCTTCCCCCACCAGGGACGAGGCCCAGGGGAAACTGGGGGAAGATGAGCAGGGGATGATGGAGCAGGTGAAGCAGTGAGTATTTCTGGTTGGCTTCACTAACCTGTAGTTTCTGTATTTTTTTCATCTGCACTTCAATCTCTTTGGAGCTCTTCTCGTCCTTCATCTTCAGGGTCTCGAAGGCAATCTTTTGATCCTCTGTGGCATCAGTGTAATTCTTGAGTGCACTCTGGAACCTTCTCCACAGATCTTCTACTACATTCTCTAGCTGCAGTCTTAGAAAGTGCTTCTCTTCTAAATTCTAGGGAGCGGCCCCAAAATAGCCAATGCTTGGACCTACCCTGTTGATGCTATTTCACTTCCACCAGCAACCTCACACTCTTACACTGCGTATAGCATGGTATAGTGCAGGGACCATCAATGAAAATGCCTACAGAGACTGGGCAGGTGATATAAGTAAGTACTGTGGGCTAGATGGGGCCTGTGGTGAACTAGAGAGGAACTGCTCTTTGATGGGCGGGGACCCGGCTGCTCAGCTCCACACGAATGTCTCCATTTGGAAATACTGGTCCAGTGATACCAGATCTTGCAAAACACTACAGGGCAGACTATAAACAAAGAGCCCCATGCCCAAGACCAGGTCTGCAGGCTAGCTAAAGTTTGCAGCCTTTAGATGGTGGGAAGCACTTTGGGCCAAGGGGCCAGAGACTGGGTTCCTTTCTGGCTCTGCCACCAATGAGCAGTATGACTTTGGCAGGTCATTTTATTTTGGGGGGCCTTAGTTTCTTCATCTGCAAATCACAGGGGTGAGGCCAGATGATCTCATTGCTTTTTAGCTCTAAAATGCATTGTCTTGATATTTCAGAATGATCTTCCCTCCTAACCAATTTTCACAGAGACACAAAAGGCAGGAGGGGCACCTATAATGGCAATGGGTTTTATTGATTACTTTGGTTAAAGGGATCTCTTCCAGCTCTACTAGCCCTGAGCATTTTTCTCTCACTTCTCTCCCAGCCCTTGCCCATTACTTTCCCTCTGTACCTTGTTTTTGAGATCATCCCACATGCTCTGGAACTCCAGCTTGCTTTCGTACTCGGCATCTACATAGTTCTGCTCCATGGCCATGAAGACTTCTTGTAGGTAGTGAATCTCGTTTTCATGTTGGTCAATAATTGTCTTCCTGTGGGAGATAAGACACTGTCCCTGCTTGGAACTCAAAGCAGTATGTAATAGAACTGCATGAGCGGTACCAACTCTTAGGTACCGAAGGAGAACAGAGGGAGGGAGGGAGGGAGGACTTTACTCTTTTTAGGCTCAAAAGAATGAATAAGATTATTTTAGTTTGATTTTTGAATAGGTTAATATATTCATATGATATAAAAATCAGAAAGTACAAAAGGTTACACTGCCAAATGGGTAGGATTTGGATAGTTGAAAGAGGAGGGTGAGGACATTACAAATAGGGACCTGGCATGGGCAAAAGAAGACTGAAGCCACTCGCTTAAACCCAAGTTAGTTTAGAAGGAAGTTGGGATCTTTTCTGCTGGGGGTGACATCATAGGCAAGGTGGGGAGCCCCAGGGTTCTGGCCACCTGCCAACAGGCAGCTCTTTGACACGGGGTCTATATGCTCCCCTGGACCAAAAACCCCACACCTTTCAGTTTCAAACTCCTTGGTCAGGGTCTCCAGTTCCATGTTGTAATTTTCCTCCAAGACACTGAGTCGGTATCTCTGCAGCGCCAGCAGCTGGTCAATGTTGTGCAAGTGGTTGCGCAGGGCGTGGGCGTACTGCTCCTCGGCCTCTGACAGGTCCTTAGCTAGAGACTAGGCAGGAAACAGAGAGTTACCGTTGTGGCTAGGTGGCTTCTGTGTGAGAAAATAAAAAAGTGTATTCAGCTGGGTAGCTGGATGGCACAAGTGGCATTTCCCCTAGTTCCTAATGCCGGTTCTCCGGCTCTAAGAGTGCTGGTTCTCTCACTCTTGAATGTAAAGTCAGAGTGACGTCAGAGAGCCCCATCCAGCCGGCCAGCGTCCCAGGGGAAACAAATGTTTACACTGATGGGGCTAAAACTAAAGGGAACTAGGGATTCTTGGAGAAATGGCTGTTTTGAGATCTGAGGCAAAAATAAACAAGTTGAATCTAGGGTATCTTGTCAGGAAAGAGAAGGAATCAAGCATTGGTCCTGCCTTTCTTACATAAACTATGTTTTTGGGTAAATGATGGGAAATATCTCTTTATAGAAGTATTTAAGCTAATATATTAAAGAGGAATGATACCATTAGAAAAAGAGAGATAATGAGACATTTATGTGCCTCCTGATGGAAGAATACACACCTCCAAGATTCTAGATCCAGTGATCAGGATAGAGGAGGGACAAAGTAACATGTTAAAATACAATGCAGAATACTGTGCAGTTGTAAAAACAAAATGAGAAGCTCTTTATGGGCTAATGTGGAATAAGGTATGTCCCCAGGACATACTGTTAAGTGAAAAAGGCAAGAGGCAGAACAGTATGTAATACTACCATTGGTGTAAAAAGAGGTTTACTCATGAAACTAAAATTATTGAGAGGGGCACTGCGTGGCTGGAAGGCACTGGTGGAAAGGAACTTTTCTTTTTTCTTTTTTTAAAGGTTTTATTTACTTATTTTTAGAGAGAGGGAAGGGAGAAAGAGAAGGAGAGAAACATCGATGTGTGAGATATGTCAATTGGCTACCTCTTGTACACCCCCAACTGGGGACCTGGCCCACAACTCAGGCACGTGCCCTGACTGGGACTCAAACCAGCAACCTTCCAGTTCGCAGGCCAGCTCTCAATACACTGAGCCACACCAGCCAGGGCAAAATATTTTATTTATTTATTTTTAGAGAGAGGGAAAAGAAGGGAGAAAGAGAGTAAGAGAAACATCAATGTGTGGTTGCCTCTTGCGTGCCCCCTGCTGGAGACCTGGTCTGCAACCCAGGCATGTGGTCTGACTGGGAACTGAACCTGTGACCCTTTGGTTCATAGGCCAGCACTCAATCCATTGAGTCACACCAGCCAGGGTGTAACTTCACTATATAACCTTTTATATTTTGAATTTTGGACAATAGAAATTGATTACCTGTTCAAAAAGGTAAAATAAAACAAAACAGCATTTAACTGAGTTCCCATAGGATCCAGACACCTTAAGTCCACTCATTCTGAACTACCACAATCTCTACATAAACAAGCTTTTACCTTATATGTTTACATGAAAAAGGATTTTATGCAATAGGTTCTGATAATGGATGACTATTCAGTCATTTGACAAATGTTTACCAAACCTGCTATTGTACCAGCACTGTGCTGAATGCTGAGGATTCAAAGATTAAAAGGCATGCTCACTGCCCTCTAGGGAGTTTGCAGTTTTGCAGTAAGAAAAGAGTTATATAAACGGAACATTACAGTTTAACATGGAAATTGCTTTGAGGTTAATGATTTACCAGTAACAAGGGGATGTAAAGGACTGAGTGCCTACATCTAACTAAGAGCACTAGGATAGGCTTCACAGAAATGTGTCATTTGTATCACTCTTTAAGGAGGAGTAAGAGTTTGCCAGGGAGACTGGGGAGATGGGACAACGGCAGTTCTAAACAGAGAAAACAGCATGTGCAAAGGCACAGGTAAGAAACAAGGCTGGCTGTATGCAAGGTGTGAGTAGAGGAAAGATCATGAAGGGCTTTGACATTCTTTCTGTGGAGTTCAATTTTTTCCTGTAGAAGAGGGGAGTCGCTAAGGAGATTTAAGCAGTGGAATAACAGGATCAGATTTTTGTTTCAGAGAAATAATCTGGAGGTTCAGGGCAAGATGGTGACATAGATAAAAGTGGTACCTGATTCCTCCCACAACCACATCAAAACTACAACTCAACTACAGAACAACCATCATTAAGAACTGCCTGAAATTTGCCCTGGCTGATGTGGTTCAGTAGATTGAGTGCGGGCCTGTGAAACAAGGGGTCCCTGTTCAGTTCCCAGTCAGGGCACATGCCTGGGATGCAGGCCAGGTCCCCAGTAGGGGACAGGCAAGAGGCAACCACACATTGATGTTTCTCTCCCTGTCTTTCTCTCTCCCTTCCCCTCTAACAAGAAATGAATAAAATCTTTAAAAAATAATGGCCTGAAATTTAGCTGAACAGAAGTCCTACAACTAATAAGGATATACAGAGGAAGCCACACAGAGACTGGTGGGAGAGGCAAAGACACTGAACAGGCTGGTCCCATACCCACTTATTGAGGGATCGGAACTTACTGAGGGATTGGACATAGAGGTCCCCCCTGAGGCGTAAGGGGTCCCTGCCCCACGCTAGGTTCCCCAGCCTAGGGTTCCAGTGCCAGGAAGAGAAGTCCCCATAATTTCTGGCTATGAAAACCAGCGAAGACTGTGGCCGAGTGACACAGAGGGCTACTGGCGTCTCAGACGTTCCTGTTAAAGGGCCAGCCCACAGACTTACTTGGACTCAATTGTTCTGAGCTCCAACACTGGGACTGTAGATCAAAAGGCACCAGGAACTTATGGGGGCAAGGGGTGGGACTGAGTTGTCTGGCAAGTAACTGAGTTGTCTGGCATTGGGGCAAGAGTTGGAGGGGCAGCTTTCTCCCAGACAGAAGTGCTGGCAGGGGCCATTGTTCATTTTCCGGGCCCTTCTCCCACAGAGCATGGGCACCATATCTGAGTCCCCATAGACTTGGCTAACACTGTTTGTTTCTTCCCTGCCAGTTCCCTGAGGCCCTGACCCACCCAACCCAAACCATTTCCAGTGGCTTTTCCATACAAATGACCTGTCTTGGACTTTCCTAAAATCTAACAAGCGGCATGCTGCATATCTCTTGCTAAGTAGCTCCAGGCCCGGCACTACCAGCAGCTGGCCTTGGTTCACAGCTTGGCCTCTCCTGGGCACCTCCAAGCCCAGCACAAATAGCAGCCACCTGCAGATTACTTTGTAGCTCGTGTAGAGTGGCCTCAGGCAGGGCACAGGTGGCGGTGACCTTGACCTGTACCTCCCAGGAGGCTACAGAGCCAGTGCAACCAGTGGACAGCTTCAGACCAGGTGGAGGAACCACCCAACCTCTTCTACAAGGGATATACTCTAGGGGCATATTCAGCATGCAGCACCAGAGCTCACTGAAATAAGCTGTGCTCAGTGGGGTCAGACTCTGCACAGCTGAACCTCCACAGTGGTTACAACCAGTCCTCACAGCTGATCAGCCTGGGGGTAAATCCCTCTGACTGAGGTGCCAACAACAATCAAGGCTCAACTATAGCAGGAGGGTGTACACAGCCCACACCAGGGGCATACCTGGAGTACCCAGCTTGGGTGTTCAGGGAGGCTGTGCTACTGGACCCTACAGAAAACCTAGTACATGAAGTCACTCTGCCAAGACCAGGAGACATAGCAGCTCCACCTAATACAGAGAAACAAACACAGGAAGGCAGCCAAAATGAGGAGACAAAGAAACATGGCCCAAATTAAAGAACAGAACAAAAGTCCATAAAAAGAACTAAATAAAATGGAGATAAGCAATCTACTAGATTATATTGGTTATAAAGATACTCAGTGAACTTAGGGGAAGAATAAATGAACTTAGCGAAAATGTCAACAAAGACATAGGAAACATAAAAACAGAGATAGAAAATATGAAAAAGAACCAGTCAGAAATGAAGGATATACTAACTGAAGTGAAGATTAATTTACAGGGAATCAACAGTAGAGTAGGTAAAGCAGAGAATCGAATCAGAGATTTGGAAGATAAGAAAGCATAAAACATCCAATCAGAACAGCAAAAAGAAAAAAGAATTTAAAAAATGAGGAATAGTATAAGGATCCTCTGGGGCAACTTTAAGCATACCAACATTCACATCATGGGGGTGTCAGAAGGAGAGAGAGAGTAAGGAATTGAGAACCTATGTGAAAAGATAATGACAGAAAACTTCCCTAACCTGGTGAAAGAAATGGACATGCACATCCAGGAAGTGCAGAGAGTCCCAAATAAAATGAACCCAAAAAGCCCCACACCAAGACACATCATAATTTAAATGCCAAAGGTTAAAGACAGAATCTTAAAATCAACAAGAGAAAATCAGTTAGTTACCTACAAGGGAGTTCCCATAAAACTGTCAGTTGATTTCACAACAGACACTTTACAGGACAGAAGGGATTGGAACAAAATATCCAAATTGTTGAAAAGCAGGGACCTACAACCAAGATTCCTCTACCCAGCAAAGCTATCATTTAGAACTGAAGGACAGATAAAGAGCTTCCCAGACAAGAAAAACCTAAAGGAGTTCATCACCACCAGACCAATATTACAAGAAATGTTAAAGGCTCTTGAAGAGGAAAAAGAACAAAGATAAAAAATATGAATAATAAAATGGTAATAAACATACCTATCAGCAATTACTTTAAATCTAAGTGGATCAAATTCTCCATCAAAAGACATATGGAGGCTAAAAGAATAACAAAATAAGACCCTTACATATTCTGTCTACAAAACACTCACTTCGGCCCTGGCTGGCATAGCTCAGTGGATTGAGCGCGGGCTGCGAACAAAAGCATCACAGGTTCGACTCCCATTTGGGGCACATGCCTGGGCTGCAGGCCACACCCCCCAGAAACTGCACATTGATGTTTCTCTCTCTCTCTCTTTCTCCCTCCCTTCCCTCTCTAAAAATGAAGAAATAAAATCTTAAAAAAAAACCCCAAAACACTCACTTCAGATCTAAAGACACACACAGACTGAAAGTAAAGGGATGGGAAAAAAATCCCATGAAAATGGGAACAAACAGACAAACAAAAGCTGGGGTAGCAATACTTAAACCCAACAAAATAGACTTTAAAACAAAGGCTATATGACAAGAGACAAAGACCCAGCAATTCCACTTCTGGGTAGTTATCTGAAGAAGCCCAGAACACTACATCAAAAAGGTATATACATCCATATGTTCATTGCAGCATTATTGACAGTAACCAAGATATGGAAGCAACTTAAGTATTCATCAATAGATGAATGGATAAAGAAGCAGTGCATATGCCCAATGAATATGATAAAAAAGAGTGAAATTTTGCCATCTGCAACAACATGGATAGACCCAGAGGGTAATATGCTAAGTGAAATATGTCAGACAGGAATTCAAATGATATATTTTTTCACTTATATTTGGAATCTAAAAAACAAAATAAATGAACAAGCAGAACAGAAATAGACTTGTAAGGACGGAGAACATTTTGCCAGTTGCCAGATGGGAGGGAGGGTAGGTGTGGGTGAAAAAGGTGAAGGGATTAGGAAGTATAAACTGGTATTTACTGAATAGTCACAGGAATGTAAAGTACAGCATAGGGAATATAATCAATAATATTGTAATAACCATGTATGGTATCAGATGGGTACAAGATTTATCAGGGTGATCATTTAGTAAGTTATATAAAGTCTAATCACTGGGTTGTACACCTCAAAACAAATATAATATTGGCCCTGGCTGGGGTAGCTCAGTGGAATGAGGATGGGCTGTGAACCAAAGGGTCGCTGGTTGGATTCCCAGTCAGGGTGCATGCCTGAGTTGCAGGCCAGGTCCCCAGTAAGAGGTGTGCAAGAGGCAACCACACACTGATATTTCTCTCCCTTTATTTCTCCTTCCCTTTCCCTCTCTCTAAAAATAAATAAATAAAATCTTTAAAAAACCCTAATATAATATTGTATGTCAACTGTAATTAAAAAATTAAAAATTATTTAAAGTTAAGGCCCTAGCTGGGTGGCTCTGTTGGTTGGAACATCATCCCATATACCAAAACGTTGCAGGTTCAATTCCCAGTCAGGGTACATACCTAGGATGCGGATTCAATCCCTGGTTGGGGTACATGTGGGAGGCAATCGACTGATGTTTCTCTCTCACATCAATGTTTCTCTCTCCACTTCCTCTCTCTCTTAAATCAATAAACATATCCTCAGGGAGGATTAAAAAAATAAATGAAATTAAAAAATAAAATTATGTGATCTAAAACATAAGAAAGATAATCTGGTAGTTGTGTAGAGGATTATCTATCTGGAGGCCGCTGGGTGTGAAGGCTGGAATACCGAAAACTACTGCAATAGTTCACATGAGAGATAATGCTCAGGCCTCAGTTACAACAGGACAGTGGGGAAAGAGAACAGAGCATGGCTTTGAAAAATACTTAAGCAGAAGATTTATACAAGACTTAGTAACAGAATTCAGGAATGGAGGCAAAATCTAGGATGACTGCCAGGATTCTGGGTTGGGTGATTTGGTGAATGGCAGCAGCCACCTGAATAGAGAGTATAAGGAAGACCAGAGAGTGGAGTATGGGGAGTGGGGCTGGCTGGGGAAGGGGAAGCCCATGAGTTCACTTGTGAGGAAAGTGCAGCAGCATCCAGGAACAGATATCTAGGAATCTTGAATGTAAGGATTTGAAACCCAAGAGAAAATCCAAGCTGGTGTTACAGACCTGGAAGTCATAATCTATAAGTGGTATTTAAAGCCAGGGTAATGAGTAAGATGGTCTAGCCTCCAGACACCTGATTCAAGAGTAAGAAGGTCAGACCCAGGGAAATGCTAAAATTCAGAGGATGGAGAGAGGAAGGTGAACTCACAAAGGGGACTGGATGTACATATCCCAGAGGCAGGAGAAAAGCCAGGAAAGAAGGGTGTCATGGAAACCAAAGGGGAGTTTCAAAAAGGAGGGCATGACCGAGAGTGTCAGTGTTATACAGAAATTAGTTTAGGTGAAGACTAAGCGATGAAAAGCATCTTTGATTTGGGCCTAGTGGTCTTTACAAAAGCAGTTTCCTGGAGAAGGGTAGAAATCAGATGTTGCGAGATTCAAGGTAAATGGGAAGTGGAGAAGTGGAGGTAGCAGGTGAGGACAACTAATATTTCCACATTTAATGTGTAGTTTCAGTTACTCAGGAATGACCCCAATGTGCTTAATATTAGCAATATGTGATTTACCTATGGCAGGGACTCTAATCATTAGCTGCAAGACTGTTGTGTATGAAGAAGCTAATTCACTCAAGGGTGAGCCTGGCTGCTGCTCAGCATCCCTAAGTGAACACCGCTGGTTCTCTTCTCAGCAAGTATTTGGTAATTCCCCAATAAGGATCTGAAGATGTCACTTAAAAAACCATACAGTATAACTGGTGGGCTGAGGAATTCTAAGGTACAACGGTTTTGCAGATTTGGAATTTTTAATATTTATCACTTGAAGCTGCCCAAGGTCTACTGAATTTTTCCCCCCAGGGGCTAAGCTGTGAAGGAAAGAGATGTGTTTTATAGAAGGGGAATGCCAGGTTGTCTATGGATATTCTGCTATTATTGTGGAGTTTTTTGCTTTGTTTTAAGGTAGAAAAGCCTAAGGACATGGAGTCAGTAAACAGGTTAAAAGTTGAATGAAAGAAGGGATACAGCAGAATTCCTTAGCAAAAAAGGTGGTGTGGACACCAGAACCTTCCAAGAGCATAAGGATGGCTGACTGAATTGTTTAGAGATCCAGAACCCACGGAGAGCTTCTCAACCTTATCCAGGGCCACTGGAGTGGAATCAAAGAGGCCAAACAGAACTTGGTTGGACACAGCACTGGACTGCGAGTCAAGAAACCCGTGCACTAGTCCCAGCTCTCTCACTGACTAGCTGTGTGACCCCGAGTGAGCCATTTTCTCCCTCTGAAACCGAGTAGTCTCACGCTGAAATGAAGATGTAGGACTGTGTCTACAGGGCCTCATAACTCTGATAACAGACAGTACTGGTTGGGGCAGTAGATGACTAAAAAGAATGGCTCCTCTAAGTTGAGAGAGAGGGATGACTACCCAATATTCTATTTTTCACTTCAGTGAAAACTGTTATTCGAAATAGGCTGGCTTCATCACAGCCTGCTGCTTTAAGATGGAGTGATTTTCTAGGCCCGTTCTATGAAGAGAAGAGATCAAGGCAGCCACATTCAAGTGTTTCCTTGGGATGAACACCCACCTTGATGACATTGTCCTTGCAGTCCACCACTCGTTCAAATGTTTGGCTGAGGATCTCAATGTCCTTAAGGAGCTCTCTGGTCTTAACTTCTCGAAGAACAGTTCTCCACTGTGTATTGATCTTATTAAGGTTCAGAGCACTGTTGTGCTCCTCCTTGGCCAGCTTGTCCTGTGTGAAGGAGTAGACACCCCTCCAGGGGGTCAGAGCCAAAAGCCCTCGCCCAGTCCAAGATCACACTTAGTTCACCAGCTGACATCTTTACCCTTTGCCTTTTCTGAGGGACCACATCTCTGATGGCTAACACTCAGGGAGTTCCTGTTCTTGCTTTGGGAGGGTCTCAAGCAAAACAGGAACTGCCTGATAGCATTTTAAGGAAGGGAAGGATGAATTTCCTTTAGGGTGGAGGCATCACAGCAGGATGCTGTTTGTAATGACCCATCTGCAGGGAGACTATCAGAATTTCAAAATGCTTGGACGACCGATAGCACCTGCTCTTCCGGTTCTGGGGCTCAGCTGAGATGGCCTAGCTCTATGCCACCGCCCCTCCCACATGCTTCACAGAGAACTGCCTCTCCTCCCAAACACGGCTGTCTGAAATCTAAGAATATTTGGGTCTCAAGATTTCAGGAGGCAAGCATGAAAATGAGGCTGCTACAATGACAGTGTTAAGACAGCAGGGTCAATGCGGGGAGTTAGGTGGGTTTGGGCAGGGAATAATGCAGAAAGCCATCACCTTCAAGAACTGGCTCAGGAGCCTTTCCTTCTTCTTGGCCGTCTCCTCCTCTGCCAGCAACTTCTGCTGATACAGAAGCATCTGCTCCTCCTCCGACAGGGGCGTCTTGGCCTTTTTCCCTTTCTTAGACATAGCTGGCTAGAGAACTGGATCTGGGCCAGGACCCTGGGCCTGCAACGGCCAGCACTAGGGGAACTAGAAAGAAAACGCCTCCGTAAAGAGGGCTTCTGAAACTGCCCCTGGACGGTAGTGGGACCTTAGATCTCAGTCCCAGGGCAAGACAGCCTGAGATAGCGGGGAGGAACGGCTGAAAGATGCGTCTACGTCTCCTAGCAACAGGATCTCGCTGAGAAGGCGCTGTGAAGCTGCAAAGGAAGACCCTGGCTTGGCGCGCCCTCTGCCGCCTGGAGGACCGCAGTGAGTTTTTTTTGTTGTTTGTTTTGTTTTGAGAGGGTTGTTTTACCTACCAAAATCTCTGGCCTCCTAACTGAAACTTAAAAATATTTTTTGTTTGTTTTAATAGAATTACCATATTTTAAAATACAGATAATAACAAATTTTGAAGAGAACATGGGGAAATGGGAACAATCACGCTTTGCTGGTAGTCATGTAAAATGGTGCAGCCACTTTGGAAGACAGTTTGGCAGTTTCGCTCGCTCTTCTTTTCTCTCTTTCTTTTTTTCTTCCTTCCTTTATCCCTATCTTCCTTCCTTCTTTCTTTTCCTTTATCCCTCCCTTCCTACCTTCCTTCTCCTTCTTTCCCTCCTTTTTCTGCCTTTCTTCATTTTCCCTCCTCATTTTCACCCATCTGGTTGGCTTTGTTGAACAATTAATAAATCAGGCGGCATCCCATCTAGTAAACAGAGTTGCTCTAACAGCTCATTAAAATTTTAAACATACATTTATTATGCATTGTAGCCAGTTTACTCTTAGATATCAGTCTAAGATGTCTACTATGGATGCATGCTACAACATGAACAAGTCTCCAAAACATGCTCAGTGAAAAAAGTCAGGCACAAAACACCACATGTGGGAAGTGTCCTTTGTATGGAATATCCAGAAAAGTCAGAAGCATTGTTTCAGAGAAGACAAATGTGTATCCAGAGTAAATGTCTAGTTCAGTGAGAACAAAACACTGCCCTTCTGTGACAGAAGTGGTCCAACGTAATCAACCTGTTCCCCCAGGGGAATGGTACTGTGTTGGGTGGGGGGAAGCGGTGTTGGTTTCTGCAGTTGGCAGGCTGGGTGCTCAGTGATTCCCATAGCCGGCTGGGCTTTGGTGAGTGACAGTTCATGCTGCTAAGTCCATGTGTAACCTCCATCCCCGCCACAATGGCTGCTTTGTTGATGAGTCCATAGGGCAATGACAGGGGTGGCTTGGAAAAGAGGCTGACTGATATCCAGAGAATGGCTCATGCTACCCACTTGATTATTAAAGTTCTTGCCTGCTGAGGTCTCCCTTTATGTGCATTTGCATGGGACGCAAACATCTTCACATTTTTTTTTTTTGCCTATTCAGAGAGGTCCATCCACATACCTCTTCTCCAAATTTCCTTGTCGCCAATTTTTTTAATCATGCTCCTTCCAAGTCCATGACCGTTCAGTTGACCCGCTGGCCACAGCCGTGAGTTAATATGTAGTCACACATCTGGCCATTTCTCCTTTCATGCAAAGTGAACAGTCAGGTGCACTGCTGAGAGTTCTGCCCACTGGGAAAATTCCCCTTCACCAATGACCTTCAGAGATGTCCCAGAAAAGGGCTGTTCACTTTTGGGTGATGTCTGCATATCATGAAGAACCATTTGTAAACCTGCTTCTCCTCTTCCTCTGTCAACTGATTGTAGGGAGTCCCCCTAAGGCCATTGGTGTAGATTGAAAGAGAGAAGATATGATCATTTGGGCTACTTCTCCATGTAACTTTCTTGTGCTTTCAGGACCTGCTTGGCCCCATCTTGTTTATACCACATACATTTGGTGATAGAGTGCTGTGGTGCCTGCCCACATGTGTGGTTTGATGGGCCAGGTGACAGCCCATTTATGACGGAGAGCTCAGGTCACAGAGAAACATGCTGACCTGAGCTCTTCATGGTGGCCCATGGTTAAGCATTCAATCTCTACTGAGATCCAGTAGTAGGCCAATGGCTGTTTCTTTAAAAAGGAGTATTGTAGTTATCTGCAGAGGACAGCAGGACTTGGCTCCAAAATTCTAAGGGCCTGGACTGTGATTCATTGATACAGGCCCGCCAAAGGCTCCAAACGGCATATCAATCTGCCTCTGCCGCTTCAAGCACCATTGAATCTGCTGGGTCATGTGGCCCAGGCAGCAGAGCAACTTGCACAGCAGCCTGGCCTGTTGCAGAGCCTTCTCTTGGTCTGGGCCCCACCCCAAACTAGCAGCTTTTTAGGTCACTTGGTGAAGGGGCCAGAGTAGCACACCCAAATGAGGAATATGCTGCAAAATTCAAAAAGGCCCAGTAAGGTGATATGTCTCTTTTTTGCTTGTAGGAGGGGCGAGATGCAACAATATGTCTTTCACGTTAGAAGGAATATCTTAACATGCCTCACACCACTGGTTCCATAAAATTTCACTGAGCTGGAAAGCTCCTCAACTATGGCTAGATCAGGCCAATAATGGGCATTGGTTCCCCAGTGGCCAGGAGCCCTGCTGGAATCCGATGCATGGCAATTGGCCTACGTGTACCTCTCTGGTGCCCTAATAGAAGGGCCCCCTCTCCTCTCGCCCCCATGGAATATGGAATAGTTGAGGGTATGCCTGAGAGCTGCTGAGTACACACTCAAGTAGAACAAATGAGTACACATTGATTGTGAGCCAGGGAAAGGCTTTCCCACACGAGGTGATAAGCCCAGCACAGACTGTGTGGGCTCTTTATCGCTTGGTAAGAAAGTTTTCCAAGTCCAAGGTCCATCCTTACGTGGCGGAGCAGGGGTGGAAAGACTGTGGGCATGAGATGACCTGTTCCAACACAAGTTTTCCAACAGGAGGTCAAGATTCCTATGAACTAAATTATAACATAGGGCTGCAGAGCTGATGCATGCCTAAGGTAGGCCAGTGAGAGTTGCTGGCTGAGCCAGCTGAAAGCAAACTGCTTGTGGTGGTCCTCACTGACGGGGAGGGGGAAAGGCAGTTGCCAGATCAATAACTGCATACCAGGCACTAAAGGACTTGTTCATTTGCTCAAGTAATGGAACCACATCTGGCAAAGTGGTTGCAGTTGGAGTTACCTCCTGGTTAAGCTGAAAATAATCCATTGTCATTCTCCAAGATCCATCTCCCTTCAGCACAGGCCAAACAGGTAAGTTAAATAGGTGTCATTGGAAAGGGACCCAGCCCAGAGTGGGTCTACCTTGGGCTGACCTGTAGTGTGTGGGTTCTCGACTTCATGTAGGAAAGATTTCACAGCACAAGTTCAGGTGATTTTGAGAGTAGGCTGGGGACAGTGGAACAAGGCTGGGGACAGTGGAACAAGGAAGGGTTTAGGGTGGAAGAAGTAACAGGAGAGCCTAGGCAGGCTGCTTTGGCTTCCTAGAAATGTTATAGGAAAGAAGTGAGCCAAGGCAGGGCTGCTGTTTGCTCGCTGCAGATTCAGGGGGCAGGGGCCATGGAGACTGGCTCAGGGGGTTAGCCTTTCTGCATCTGCTGCTCTTCACGGCCCCTTTTGTCACAAATCAAGTGTCCATATATGAGGACAAAAACCATTTGATTTTCTTGTTGCATATTTGTTTGGCTCGTATAGTGAATTACATTGATTTTCAAATGTTAAAGTAACTTTGCATTTTTGACTAAGTAGGTACCGCTGGGCACCACTTGCTTACAGTGTAAGCGAACACAGGACTCTGCGCCTGCGGTCATGAGTGTAACTCTCTTTCCTTACCGTGTTGTCATCGGGTTTGGTGTAAAGGCTATGCTTGCCTACTAAAGTGAGCGGGGGAGAATATAGCCTTTCTTTCTACTATTTGGAAGAATCTATGTCCAATCTGCACTATTTCTTTCTTAAATGTGTGGTCAAATTCAATGGTGCCACCCCTGGGCTTGCTATTTGAGTTGCGGGAATTTTAAAAATAAAGGGTTTATTGAGATTTTACTCACATACCATACAACTCATCCACTTAAAATGTAAGTGGACTCAATGGTTTTTAGTGCAGTACATTCGCAGGGTTGTGCCACCATCACCACGATCCATTTTAGAACAGTTCGCCATCCCCAAAAGAAACCCCAAACCAGAAGTGGCCACGCCCCTTTTGTAGGACTGTTTTAATTATAGATTCATTTCAGAGTTTTCTGCTTCCTTCATGGTCAAACCCAGGGCCCACCCTTCAGGATTAGCTCTTCCTTGAAACTCCAGCTCCGGGATCAATGTCAGCAAACACGAGGTGCTGACTGTTTGTGGTACCATGCTGGGCATGGGGGTGCAGAAAGGAGATGGGTGAATCCAGCAGCGAGCCCAAACTCGACAGAACCCTCTACAGTTTTGGCACCCGGTCAGAGCTAAGCTCTGAATCTGCATGTTTGTCTGTCAAGTGTCTATTGTTTAGGACTGGGGTGAGACAAATAAGAGAATGTGTGTGAAAGAACTTTGAAAATTGTCAAGTATTACCAAGGTATTGTTATTGAAGGGCTGGCAATTTAGTTTAAGGAGACATAAATAATAAATACAGATCCATAAGCAAGTACAACAACTACATTTCTGAGAACTCCCTATGTGCTAAGCACCATACTATATATGCATTACCTCACTGGATTCTTATAATAGCACTGTGAAGTAAGCACTGCTATTATTTTTATTTTACAGATGGGAAGTGATGCCTATAGGAGGTAAGTAACTCAAGTTATACAGCTCCTGAGGGACAGCTGGTGGGGAGGGGTGGTTAGTTTGGACTGACCAGTGTCCCATGGAGGGACCGCATTTTTGGCCTGCTGGGGAAGCTTCCCGTCTTCACAGGGTGCAAGTTATTCCAATAGCGCTTCCCCCACCCTGCTGTGCTTGTTCTCCCCGCCCTTTTCCATACTTTCTGTAAAGGTTTTCTTCTTTGCCCCTCTTATGCACCACACCCTGAAATTCCGATTCTTCTCATAGCTTCACAAATCAGTTCTGGGATGGATGCAGAGGCTCCTGTTTCCATGGTGATGTGGGAAGGCTGGTATACCACAGCCAAGTGTAGGCGATGCAAAGAATTGGCTCAGGATCCAAAGGTGTCGGTAGTAGCCAGGCTCAGGGAAAAGAGATCGATGAGAAAGCCAAGTCTGAGTGACTGGACCTCCTTCAAGCTCCAGAACCTCCACCTCCAACACGCCCCCTGCCCTCCCCAAACTCCTAATTTGGAGTAGAAGCTGGGAGCCCTGGGAGGGGAAACGGTATGAGCTCCGAAGCATAACCTACCGCCCCTGACTTGTTTAAAGACAAAGCCTAATCTTGATGGGAAAGCCTGCCCAGTAGGGGGCCGCCCCCTTCCCTGGCCCCCCTGCCTTGCCTCAGCTCTTCTCTTCTCTGACCTCATTTTGTGCCCGCCTGGCTCGCGGCCGAGGCGCTGAAAGGGAGCGGGGAAGCCGGCAGGGGGCAGAATCTCCCTCATTCAAAGCTGCAAGATTCCTTCCTCAGCTCTCTCCACCCCTGCTCTCACCAGGATTATTTTCAGTTTACAAGCTGCAAAGGTGCAGTAGGTGGATTTCAGGAAAAGGAGCTGGCTTCTGGCGGCCGGGGCTGTGAGCCTCTGAAGCTTTGGTCTTAAGCCGCGGGCCCCACTGGGGAGAGGGGTATTTAGGGCCAAAGAGTCAGGGGCTGAAGTAGGGGGCACTTTAGCTTTTACTGGCAAAGGTTTCTTCTGAGGTTTTTCTGGATCTGTTGAGAACATTTAAAACCCCCCATCCCCAAAGCAGACGCTAAGTCATCCATTCAATAACTGTCTATTGAATATCAATGCTTATATTTACAGGTGGATGCATCCAATCAAGAACCAGTGTTTATAAAGTGCCTACACATTTCTTAATGGTTCTTGACCATCATGGTCTTTTCTTGGGAGAAGGGATGTTACACATCCTATGGGATTCTGATAAAAAATACAGACTGTCTTCCAAGAAAGTATGCACTACAAATCTACAAAAATTTTTGTATGATTCTGGGAGTCTCATGAATGCCTGGGCATAGGTTATCCATGGGCCCCAGGGCATAAACTCCTGGCCTAATATGGGCTCCATGCTGAGCACTGAAGATGCAATAATAAGGCAGATCAACATCCCCCTTCCCTGCCTGAGCTTGTGACAGGCTAATGGGAGACACAGATAAGTACAGAGATGCCTAAAATACAGTGGGATATCCAGGTGCTGGGAGATCCACCTACCTAGATCCACCTGCCTAGATCTGGGGCCTCACAGAAGGCTTCCCAGAGGAAGTGATGGGTAAGGAAGTGATGAAGAAAGAGTAGGAGCTAGCCACACAAAGACCTGAGGAAGAACACTTTGAGCAGTGAGGAAAGCCCAAGTAAAGGCCCTGAGGAGAGAGAACAGCAAACCTGAGACGCTGACAGCATCCCAGGGTGGCTGGCTCAGAGATACAAGGAGGACCGGTGAGAGGAGAGTCAAGAGAGCTGAGTGCCATATGTTGGCCCTGGGAGGCAATGAGAACAAGAAGGCAGCTGCTGTCCTCAAGGACACAGACAAGAGAGTGAGTGGTTATGCTGTGGAAGTGTGGGTTAGACATTGGAAATGAATATGGGTGGTATGGGAGCATAGGGGAGGAGCTTTAAACTCAGTTTTGGGGATCAGGCCCAGGACCCAGGAAATGAGTCTCATGGATACATTCAGGGTATCCAGAATACCCTGAGCCTCTGAAACCATTTGGAAGGGGAAGGAGGAACCAGCAGTACGACTTGATTTGACTGCCCCTCCCATTAGGAACATCTTTTACTCTGGAGGTGAGGAGGGCTATGCTGCGGTGAGCTCAGCTCTGTGTACTTTTTAAGAATTGTGGCCAAAGGCAGCCTTGGCTAGAAAAGTGGCGGAGGAGGGAGACCAGTAGGCTTGGCCCCTGGCTCTTCGCTGTGGGCCTAGAGGTGGAACTGGGGGAACATGGGATGAGAAAGGGGAGTAGATGTTGCAGTGATCGATTGCCAGTGATTTACCTTATTTAACAGCACTCATATAGCACTTACATATGCCAGACACTGGCCTAGACACTTAACAAATACTAATCCATAACACTCCTAGGAGTGACGTGTGATTATCCTCCTCGTTTTACACATGGGGTGAATTCAGCATGGGGCAGTGAAGTAACTTAGCAAGATCAAACAGCAAGTGACAGAGCCACCATTTGAGCCCAGGCAATCTGGTTCCAGAGGTGGGGCTCTTCACCACTAAACTCGGCTACCTCTTGAGACCAAAGGCAAGCGTTAAGAATTGAACCCAGGCCTTCCACACAAGACAGATGTGGAATTCTACCATGCACCTCTTGGGACACTGATAAAGTAGGAGGAGCACCACTAAGTGGGAGGTCCCAGGTCAGTGGGAGGAGCCTTAGGGAATGGTGAGGCCTTGTACCTGAGGGAGCTGCCAGAGACCAAGGCCTAGGGATCCAGGACTAGAGAGGGGAAACAAGTTAAAAATAAGGTCAGGGGGGAACTTCTGGCCAAGATGGAGGTGTAGATAGACACACTGCTTTCTCACACAACCAAAATAAAGACAACAAAGATTTAGAAACAAAAAAACCCCAGAACTGACAGAAAATTGAACTGTATGGAAGTCCGACAACCAAGAAGTTAAAATAGACACATTCATCCAGACTAGTAGGAGGGGAGGAGCCAGGCGGCTGGGTGTAGAGGGGTTGTGGCAAAAAAAAAGCAATGGCTTGTGGACCCTGGGTGTGCAAGATGGTGGCTGGCAGACCCCGAGTGTGGGGTGGAAGCGGGCAGACCCCAGTGAGGCACACAAGGTGGCTGGCTGACCTGGCGGTCCCACATTCACGCACAGATAAACAAGGCGAAACTGGGGAGCAAGACAGACCACGAAACCCAGGGCTCCAGCTTGAGGAAATAAAGCCTCAAAACACCCACTGAAAACACCTGTGGGGGTTGAGGCACAGGGAGATACTCCCAGCCTCACAGGAGAGCTTGTTGGAGAGACCCACAGGGTCCTAGAATGTACACAAGCCCACCCACCCAGAAATCAGCACCAGAAGGGCCCAGTTTGCTTGGGGGAAGTGGTGGAAGGGACTGAAATCCAACAAAGAGCAGAGCAAACACCATTATTCTCTCTCTGACCCCTGCCCCACATACAGCGTCACAACCCAGTGACTGGGTTAACCCGCCCTGGTGAACACCTAAGGCTCCGCCCCTCATGTATAACAAGTGCGACAAGACAAAAAAAAAAAAAAGGTCCAAATGAAAACAGATCAAAGCTCAGAACAAATACAACTAAGCGATGAAGAGCTAGCCAACCTATCAGATGCACAGTTCAAAGCACTGGTGATCAGGATGTTCACAGAATTGGTTGAATTTGGTCACAAATTAGATGAAAAAAAATGAAAGCTACACTAAGTAAAATAAAGGAAAATGTACAGGAAACCAATAGTGATGGGAAGGAAAGTGGGACTCAAATCAATGGAGTAAACCAGAAGGAAGAAAGAAACAACCAAACAGAAAAGAATGAAGAAACAAGAATTCAAAACAATGAGGAGAGGCTTAGGAATCTCCAGGACAACTTTAAATGTTCCAACATCTGAATTATAGGGGTACCAGAAGGGGAAGAGGAAGAGCAACAAGTGGAAAAGTGATTTGAACAAATAATGAAGGAGAACTTCCCCAATCTGGCAAAGAAAACAGATTTCTTGGGAAGTCCAGGAAGCTCAAGGAGTCCCAAAGAAGTTGGACCCAAGGAGGAACACACCAAGGCACATCATAATTGCATTACCCAAGATTAAAATGAAGGAGAGAATCCTAGAAGCAGCAAGAGATAAGGAGACAGTCACCAACAAAGGAGTTCCCATCAGACTGTCAGCTGATTTCTCAAAAGAGACCTTGCAGGCAAGAAGGGGCTGGAAAGAAGTATTCCAAGTCATGAAAGGCAAGGACCTACATCCAAGATTGCTCTATCCAGCAAAGCTTTCATTTAGAATGGAAGGGCAGATAAAGTGCTTCTCAGATAAGGCCAAATTAAAGGAGTTCATCATCACCAAGCCCTCATCATATGAAATGTTAAAGGGACTTATCTAAGAAAAAGAAGATAAAAAATATGTATAGTAAAATGACAGCAAACTCACAATTATTAACAACCACCCCTAAAACTAAAACAAAAACAAACTAAGCAAACAGCTAGTACAGGAACAGAACCATGAAAATGGAGATCACATGGAGGGTTAGCAACAGGGGAGTGGGAGGAGAGAGAGAGGGAAAAGATACAGAGAATAAGTAGCATAGATTGTAGGTAGAAAATAGACAGGGGGAGGGCAAGAACAGTATGGGAAATGTAGAAGCTAAAGAACTTATGACACATGGACATGAACTAAAGAGGGAGAATGTGGGTGGGAGAGGGTGTGCAGAGTGGAGGGGAATGAAGGGGGTGGAAATGGGACAACTGTAATAGCATAATCAATAAAATATATTTAAAAAAAAGAAAAAATATATTGCCAGGGGCCCATGATACCGAGCCCCTGCCTCTCTGGTCAGTGACATCTCTTGCCATTCTCTCTTCACAATTTTCTAGTCACACTCCTTTTTCTTCTCCCAGGGACTTTTTACTTGCTGTTGTCTCTGCCCTGAATACCCTTGTGAGTCCACATACACCTCTCCTTTCCCCAGGCTGGCCCCCACTCAGCCTTCATTTACTTATTTATTCATTTACACATGCTATCCAGTAGCAGCTTTTAACAAAAATTTTTAAAAAGATTTTATTTATTTATTTATTTTCAGAGAGGGGAAGGGAGGGAGAAAGAGAGAGAGAAACAATGTGTGGTTGCCTCTCACGTGGCTCCCACTGGGGATGTGGCCTGCAACCCAGGCATGTGCCCTGACTGGGAATTGAACCTGCGATGCTTTGTTTCGCAGCCCGCACTCAATCCACTGAGCTATGCCAGCCAGGGGTGCTTTTAACAAATTTTTTATTCATCGATTTTAGACAGAGAGAAAGAGAGAAGCATCAATTTTTGTGGGTGTTTTAAAATATTTTATTGTTTATGATGTGACTGGGGTTGCTCAGTGGATTGAGTGCTGACCTGCAAACCAAAGGGTTGCCAGTTCGATTCCTAGTCAGAGCACATGACTGGGTTGTAGGCCATGTTCCTAGTTGGGGGTGTACAAGAGGCAACTACACACTGATGTTTCTCTTCCTCTCTTTCTCACTCCCTTACCCTCTCTTTAAAAATAAATAAATAAAATATTTTAAAAAATAAAATAAAATATTTTACTATTTATGCTGTTATAGTTGTCCCAATCCCCCCCTTTGCCCTTCTCCACCCAGCTCCCCTCTCCTAAGGAACATCAATTTGCTGTTTTACTTATTGATACATTCATTGGTTGATTCTTGTATGTGCCCTGACCTGGGATCAAACCTATAACCTTGGCATGTCGGGATGGCACTATAACCAACCAAGCTACCCAGCCAGGACTCCCCCTCAGCCTTTAAATCTCAGCCTTACTGTGGGTTCTTAAGAGAGACCCATTTGAATCCAATCTCTGAATTAGATTCCTCTTATTCTCACAGAAGTACCCTATTATTTTCCTTAATCACCTAGCTCATCATTTGAAATTATATATTCAATCGTATTTATTTACTTAAGGCCTGACTCTCCCACTAGAATATATGCTCCTGAGGGCAAGGGCCCCATCTTATTCTCCACTGTCAGCCTTGCTCCTGGCACAGGGCTGGGCACGTACAGATGCTCCATAGTATTTTGCTAAGTGAGTATATGAATGTAGAGGGATCTCAGAGGTCCACTTGTCCAGTGCTTCTTTCCCTCTTCTGTATGCTCAATAGGAGGTCACGTACCTTGTCCTTGAATACCCAATGGCAGAGAACTCACTACCTTATTAAGAGTCCCGTTCCACTTTTAAAGAGTTTTAATAATTAGAAA